CGCTTAGCGAAATTTGATTGGCTAAATCTATGGTAGCCATCTTGGATGGTACACACACACAGTTCTGCGTATTTCGAACATCGAATACATTGCGGTTAGTGCTCTAGTATTCTTATTATACCTCTATGATCGTGACATAGTGTCTACGCCACCGTTGGGGGCAGTAGACACAAATACCATCACATCATAATAGGGTTATATATGATGTAATTGAAACGTCAAGCAAATTCTCAACACAACGGTCCAATCAGCGCCATCTACGAGAGAATGTACGAGAGATTAACTCTAAAAATAAGGGGCAAAATAAGTTGTTTTTAGGGGGAAAATAGGTTGTGGGGGACTAGACATTTAGACCGACATAAATCTAGGTTGTCTAAAATTTCTAACACCCTCACAACCTATATTTCCCCCCCCCCCCCACCAAAAAAAAGGTAAACCCTATACGGGTTGCTAAATACAACAGGTTCAGACGAGGGCGCCTGGCTTCGTATATTGACGTCATGCATAATTTCAGCTTTAGTTAGTCTTTCCATGTAGGTGGTCTTTCTGTTACAGTTCGTCCTAGACAGAGTACTGGGTCCTGTCTTGGATCACCACAGCATAGCAAAACACAGCAACTCCATGTTACAACCAATTACATTACAAGCCACGTCCCCTCGGCTGAACCCGTTACCAACCGTACTGCCCCTATGTCACGTCCCCTTTAGTAATTTACCCGCATATAAATTTACCAGTGTGACCACTGCTTGGGTATTTACCCAAGATCTTGGGTATTTTGACTTGGTCTTGGGTTCCCTTGTGGCTGCTGTCTGGGCTTACTGTATGTACAGGATAAAGTTGCTGTCATTGGTATTTTTGTTACCCCCAATGTATGATAGTTCCAATAAAAAAAATTCATCCGTGTCTCTCTTCACATGATTAAATGTATTTGGGCGTGGTCTTTAATGTCACTGTTTAAGGTCACGTACAGGTAAAAATTGCTGTCACCTGTGACATTATTGCAAGTATCTACCTGGGAGTAATATCCAATTATTTTTATCCATGTCTCTCTCCACATAATTAAATGCATTATTTAACCCCCTATTTCATTTCCCCCAGCCCGCTTGTACAGGATGCAGCCCGGCAGCAATACTGAATATCGTATCTTGGCCCTAGACCCACGCGGGTCTTATATAGTAGCAAATGATAAAATCAGGCAAAGAGAGACATGAATGAAACCTAGGAATTACTATTTGTACATTGTAGAATGCTGAAACACCGATGACAGCAATTTTTTCATGTACCGGCTGACCCTAAACAGTGACATTAAAGGCCACGCCCAAATGACATTAATCATGTGAAGAGAGACACGGATGATTTTTTTTTATTGGCACTATTATACATTGGGGGTAACATAAATACCAATGACAGCAACTTTATCCTGTACATAAGCCCAGACATCAGCCCCAGGTTCCCAAATGAACTTATTATTTATAGTATGATATGGTCGAAAGCCTTAAGCAGTATCCTTTTAACTAAAAGTTCCACATTAATTGCAGTTGACAGGATTTTATGTAAAATATATCTAAGGTGATGGGGATCTTCTATGCCACCAAATGTACCCTTTTTAGTGACACTTTTCGACCAAATTGCTTCCTATTTATAGCCTACCTTTGTTTAAAAAAGATTTGTTTTTTCTCTTTTGTTGAAATTCAGTTATTTAATTTGGTCAATAAATGTATTTTTGAATTAAATTTTAAATTATACTGTCTACTTCTATGCCAAAAATTGTAAGGCAAGTCATTGGCAGTACCTTTGTTTTCCATTAACTTCCAAACTTTCAAATATAAAATTTGTAGTAAAGTTTTAATACATTAATAATGTTTTTTTTTTTTTATCTTTATGGTTTTGTCTAATATTTTAGCATTCTGCATTCAAATTGATAAAGGGACTTGCCCCACTTCCTTTAAAAATTACTTTAAATTAATAATTCCCTTAAATGATAATAATTTGAATGAAAACAGTCATATTCATAAATTTTCCATAATATATATGAAGTACAGTACTCATACACAGCATAGTACATTGTAACAGCTCGGACTAACAGCTCTCAACTTGAGAGTATTAGTTGACAGCTGTAGTCCGAGCTGTTACAATGTACTCATACACAGCATAGTACATTGTAACAGCTCGGACTACAGCTCTCAACTAATACTCTCAAGTTAAAATTTTTTGACCTATCATAGTACACTACATTAAAATGAAACTCACATATGTTCTGTTGTCTTATCCATTTATTGATGAAATTATATAGATGAGTCCATTTAAATGTTTCATATATGTTTAGTTTTCATTTATACCAAATCGATGGACGTCACAGTATAAAAATATTGTATTAAAAACGAAGCTCACACATTGAGTTAGATTATTTGTAACAAAAATGCAAAGGACATGCCATACAAATAAAAAATACTTTTTAAAAGAAAGTACACTATATAATAATTATGTCAAGTTAAAATTTTTACAGAAACAGGATAATGTATGTTATGGCTTCCAACAGCAAGTCTACAATAATCAAAGAATTAAGAGAGACAACATGTAGCAGATTAAATACATTATAAAAATGAAACATGTTGATGAAATAGTCTCATGTATTCACAATGTATATAGTACCACAACATAAACTGGATTATGATATAGGGGCCTAAATTATATTATTAATATAACCGATTTATTACCACTTTATTAGTAGGCCTGCATGACTTGTAACTAACGAATTAGCGTAAAAAATAGACTTAACCGAAGTCGGGCTATTACGTTAATGACTCAATTCATCGTGTTATGACCCTAAGGGCGCACCATACATAATGCTTTTTTTTAGCATGACAAACCCAACGACCGAAATGATCAACACCTTAATTATTAAAGTCTGAAGGTGTGCTTTCCTGGCTTCTCTTCCCTATTGATTTGAGTGTTGTTTGACCCATTTATCAGTATCTGACAACAATACAAACGAGACAGTACGCATGATTAATTAGTACAGTAGTAATACGCATCCCCAAATTTTTCAAAATCAAAAATTCTCAACCAACAAGTTCTACTCAGAACTATCTACGTGGTGTACTGCAAGGATTAATATATGATTTTTCAAATTGTATGAGAGTGTAATTTCCGGCCATTTGGAGGGAATCATAAATTTTCTTCCCTCAGCCCCAACCATGGTGCGGTTTTGGTGGTATCTCCTCCATTTGTGAAAGTCCCTTCTTGGCCCCCTTCAAATTTCTGGATCCGCCACTGAAAACCGTTTAATATATGCATCTTCAGAAATCAATTACATAAGCCTAAGACCTCAAATTATCAATAATGCCTGAGCTTCGCTCCCTCGATCCTAGCAGGGGTTTCCCCCTTAGGAACCCCCACCCTCCAACCCAGTGCCATTTTGGTCCACATTCTACAAATTTTCAACCAGCCAATAGAAATCCTGCATATAGCCTGATGTAATCCCGATTTCGTTAATAACAAGAAGAATCTGGAACATATAAAAAAACAATTACAGCCCTATAGTGAACAAACTTTGAACAATACAGTATTGGTATCCTGATGATGACATAAATAATGTCGAAATATTGAATCCCAACACGATGGCGTGCATTTCAATACTTGGAGTATGTATTATACTTTTATAATATTATTATTAGTATATATATATATATTGACAGCAGTATACAATAATTTAAAGTTCTGTTTAGTATACAAGAGTAAGTGTTCTAATCCACTTTAAAAAAAATTGGCTCAGGAGGGGGTTGGGGACGCATCAGGGGGAAATTCAAAAAGGAAGGAAAGAGTGCCAAAAATATCCCAAGCGGTCTAAGGGATGAGGCAACAGTAAGACATTCAAGTACAACACAGTGCAGTAGAAACTCAACGGAGGAAGCTCTGAAATTTAGGGATTTAAGAATATCGATTTCATAATATTATAAACATTACATAAGCCTTTTAAGCATTTTTAGCATAGTTATTATTAACTATTTTAAACTGAAAAATGAAAGCTTTGGCATATCCAGCAAGGTCTTTAGAACACTGTGTTAAAATGTCTTTGACCTAGCCCCTGTAAATGATTAATACTTTTTTTCATAATGGTAATGATTATTATAGTGGTGTCACGCAAACTCAACTATTATTCGACTACAAATTACATTATGAAAATATATTTTTTTCCATGTCTAAATTCTGCTAGCCTATTTTCAGCGGAAATGACAATAAAGACCTATACAATGGTAACGCAATAAGATGATGGTATAGTTTACCGTCATCCGGGCAGCAGATCGTATTTTATAAATACACAGTATAGTAATGTATGTATTGTATCAAGGCGTAAACCAATTTTCTCTTTATTTCATAAAGGATTTGACGTTTCGAAGGAGATGATAGATGTGGCCAGGGAAAAATATCAATGTCCAAATGTGGTTTACGAAGTTGCAGATGTAGTGAATTTTGTTGAAACATTTCCAAATTGGAAAGGTGCATTTGACAAGGTTGTTTCTGTCTTCGCATTGCATTGGGTGAAGGATTGCAGAAGAGCATTTCAGAACATTTACGACTGCCTCAGACCTGGCGGGGAGTGCTTCCTTCTATACGTCGGTCCAATGAATCAAATACTGGGTCACAGTGAGGATGAACTTCCGTATTACTTGAAGAATATTAGTAAATGGAAAGAACATCTTAAAGTACGTATACTTTATTTTAATTTAAACAACTGATGATGAAAAAAATGAATGACGTACAGAAATGGCTGCCTTGTGAAAATATAAATTGTCACTGCAATCATAATTGTCTCATTCATGTGTAACGTTGAAAATACTCTTATCATCATAGCCGTCACTGTCAACGTGGTCATTATGGGCGATTTTGAGAGTGGTTAGTTATTTATATTATCATCATTATTTTACGATTGTTAATGTTACCATCATCTTTATCTTCAATATTATCCTTATTTTTATCATTAACCATTTATAAAGGGTGACCCTTCCAGCGTATCCTGTAGAAGGTCGACGGATTCTTAAATAAATAAAAATTAGGTTATGCTTTAATCAGTGAAGTCTCTTTATGACTGGAGACAATGCCATTGTTTTTTTTTTCTTTCATCCAAGCAAGAAACAGTACGCATGTTATAGCTTTTCTATACATCCACCTCCCCCCCCCCCCCACACTGATGACCGTGAATACTGGACTTTTGCCTTAGCCATTTCACACCTAGAGTCAGCTTTTGTTTACTTTTCCACCAATCAACTGCAATCACGTACGTATTCCCCGTTTGGATATTTGGACAGATATTATTCTTCTGATGACGATCAAACGTTAATAACAACAGTTCTTTTCAGAACTATCATACGTTGTGTGCCGAAAGCATTTACTCATTACTTCTCTCATCATCATCACCACCATCATTGTCATCATTGTCTCTCGATAAGGGAAGTGTTAATACTCTATGAAACACATTAGATAATTAAAAGTTATTCATTACATTTCAGGATTACGACAACAAAGTATATTGTCCTATAAGTATTGAAGATAGCATAAGGTTTCTGGAATCAGTTGGCTTTGAGGTAATAACAGCAAACTTACACAAACCATGTGATGAACTTGATCTTCACAAAGACCAAATAAAAGGTAATTTGTAATGTGCTTTTTATGATAATTATACTGTAATGATATAAAAAAAAAATTAATATATTGACAATATACTAACAAAAAAAATCGATTGCAACATTTCAGTTATTTAGTTAAAAATTATATTTACGGTATATATACATACAGGGAGAGGCTGGGGGAAGGTGGGAGGCAGGAGGGGTGCGGAAGCACCCCCCTAATAAAAAAAAAAGTGCCGCTAGTGTAGGCCTAAGCCTCGGTCTCTGCCTAGTACTACAGTGGAAAATTTGTAGCAAATAGAACTTGATTACACCAACAAAAGTAGTCCCCTACAAATATATGATATTCCTAGTCGTAAAATAAAATAAACCTCCTCGTACGGTAGTTGTTGCTTTCCTCTAAGTGAATTTGCCCAAAATGCGATTTTTTTTTTCATTACACGCATGCTGCACATGCTTATGTTTATGAGAAATAAAATTTCATGATTCGCACTATTGGGCAAACTGCATAAAACTTAAAACATACAAACATAAATCTGCATAAGATTGCATAACATCGATGGAGAGTTTATATCTTTCTAATTGAATAGGCTATTAAAATACAAAAACAATGGAAAAAAACGCTTGAAATTGAAATTATTACGGCAAATAAATATTTAAAGTTGCAATATCGTACTGTATTTAGTTAAGATTTTCATGTTCGATTTGTAGAATGATTGATTATATTAAAATAAAAGTGGGATGCTCCCATACAAGACAAAATAAAACGTACAGTAAATTTTTACATTCATTTAAATGTATTTATATAGAATAGCTTTAAAACATACAATTAAAAAAACAAAAAAATTAAGATAAAAAATAGGCCTACATGATTGCCAACAGAAATACAGACGTCTTAATTATATTCTTCTTAAACTTTGACGAAAAACTTGGTTGAGACAAAAAGCAGTTAATGAGATATGCATTTTTTAATACTTATACAGAACATACAGTACTGGGGAAATGTTGGTCGAAGCAACAGCCTAATGTGATTTAATGGATTTTAAATATTATCATGATTTTAAAATATACATCAAATGACACCGACATTATTATTTTTTTAATTACTTTCATAATTCTGTGTAATCTTTTCAATAATACCAATAGACCTGACACATGCAACAGCAATACAGTAATTAGAAAAGAGTACAAAAATTGTTCTTCTTTTGAATGAAAGTTTTAACTGTATTTAATAATTTGTTTTATATAATATAATAAAAATTAAACCAACTAGTCACTAAAGGGATCCCTGCTGGCCCGCCCCACCCCCTTAAATTGTTTTAAAAAAAAATTTAAATTGAGATATCAAGAAAATTATATTTACATTTTAAGTCTGAGAGTGCAATTTCCGGCCATCTAGAGATGCCATAATCACACATTTTCTTACCTCAGTCCCAATCCTCCATCCATGAATACCTCACCGGGCCCCCTCTATTTTGAATTCCTGGATCTGCCACTGATGTGTAACAAGACGAACAAAGTATTATCTTAATTACAATATGTTGCGCATATTTTGTCAAATTAAGATACAAAATTAAAAACTCAATTGCGCCATCAAAATACATCACAAAATGCTACAAATTCTTGAGTGACTGGGGATTCACCCTGTCTCTTATACACACCT